TTGCTATTCTACTATTTTGTTGATTTCTGCTATTCTGCTGCATTAGTTCTGCTAATTCCTGTTTTCTACTATTCTACTAATTTCTGCTGTATTTTTTGTATTTTCTGTAATTGTTTCTGTATTTTCTGTATTTTCAGTAATTGTTTCTGTATTTTCTGTATTTTCTGTAATTGTTTGGTATATTATTTCTGTATTTTCTGAAATTCTGTATTTTCTGAAATTGTTAATTGTTTGGTATCAGAGCAAGAAGTTTCTGGGAAGTAATAATTTAAATGAGAAGACCGCTACGTAGTACTATAAAGACATTTAGAAACAAAACGAGATTTGAATAGTTTATATTTCGAATATAAGAGACTAAATCGGACTAAAGAAGACAATATAAGGTTAGATTACCTAAGTGTGTAAGAGTCAGTCGGGGTTCCCGAAAGGGAAACCTCTCTCCGTCTAAGTCATGTAAGTCTTTATGTTTCCTGTATTTTCCCAAAAAAAAAAATCCTAGGACTTTACAGGTTAATTCATCGTTGTTATTAAGAAAAACCATCTCAACTACTCAATCCAAAAAGTCCTAAAATCCCTCTTGTAATATTCAGTTTGTAAAAGATTTGGTTTTAAGTGTGTAAGAGTCAGTCGGGGTTCCCGAAAGGGAAACCTCTCTCCGTCTAAATCATGTAAGTCTTTATGTTTCCTGTATTTTCCAAAAAAATAAAAAATAAAAAAAATAAAAAAATAAATAAATATATATATATATATATATATGTGTGTGTGTGTGTGTGTGTGTGTAAATTATGTCTGTTTGAAATAATATTTGCTTAAGGCCTTAGAAATATCCTAGGACTTTACAGGTTAATCCATCGTTGTTATTAAGAAGTTAAAAGTCTAACCATATACTGAGGGTAGTTTTATACTACAAACATATTTACATACTTATCATTAAGCAAATATTATTTCAAACAGAAAATATATATATATAAATGTTATTTAGTTTGTAATCTTAAATATTTCATGTGAAAATTTGAAAATAATTTGTTTTTTTTAAAAAATAGACATTTAAAAAAGATAACCTAAAAAAAGACAAATCAATTGAAATTGAAAAATAATTCGTTGCTTTCGAATATCTATAATAGACAACCTTATGTTTTTGATGCATCCTTCTCATTCATCATCCACAATTGAAAAAAGATGCAACCTCCGTTTCAAAAAGAGTGACCTAGTTTGATTTGACACGGAGTTTTAAAAAATAAATAAGTCTTTTGAATCTTGTGGTCCTAAATTAAAGTTATATCAAATGTACTAAATTGTCCTTCAATCTTGTGGCTTTAAACATGCTACGTGAAAAACTGAAATTAAAATGTTACCAAAAAAGGAAAGAGGTCATTTTTTTTTAAACAGACTAAAATGGAAAAGATGTCATTCTTTTTAAAACGAAGAGAATACTTTATTTAGATTAGTTCCTCTTTTATATGAATAAACCTATTATTATCAATAAATAAAATGTTTCGGTTTGCAAGCAAAAATAAAATAAAATAGCAACTTGTTTGTATTGGAATACTCAATATTTTCACATTAGTTATAACACCTATAGATTCCATTTTTTATTTTGCCGTGAATTTGGTACTATCTTTGATGGAATAAGTGGACCTTTTAATTACTCCCACGTTTGTATGAGCAGTCCTGTCCATAATAATTATTCTTTATGTTCCTATTTATATGGCGTTTTATGTTTTTTAATATTTGTCATTCCATAAAATTAATATATAAATAATATTATTTTTTATATTTTATCTGTGAGAGTTATTAGTCTTGAAAATATGTATTTAATTCAAGTAAGAAAACTAAGTAATTGATTCATGTTTATTGTTTAAATTAATTAATCAAAATTAACTAATTTATGTTCATTTATGAAAAACTTGATTTAAGAGAATACTGATAATATTATACATTTGGCTTGGTGTGACATATAAGGTATAATAATTTTGAAATAAAATACAAAATTATATTTGACTAGAAATATATATCAAGTGGTTGAATTATTTATTCCACCATTTTTAATATAGTGATGAAATAACTTATTCCAAAATAACTTATTATGAAATAATTAATTTCAAAATAACTTATTCCTAATCAAATGACCCTATAAGTTTAAGTATATATATTGTTTATTTTTAATCACATTACCTAACTATTTGTGTTATAAAAATTAGTATATAATTGGAGTGGCAACACATAAAAAAAACTAGATTAAGGATGCCACGGGCATATTTACAGACGTTCAAATATGTAAGATGATCAAAATAAATACCAACTTAATACATTATGTAGTATGTTACATTCATTTTGCGGAATGTTATACGGAAATCTCTAAATAAAAGTAGCTTCTTTCCAGTTGAAACTCCTTTATGACCTAAAAGGAAATTAAAGAATGTAGAATTTGTTTCAATACGTAGGTCCTCTTCAACAAAGCTATAGACATAACCTAAGGAAGTAAAACAGAAGGGGGCGGAACTGCACACTTTCATGTTCAGAGCATTGTCCGAGTGAGTGGGCAACGTCTACCAAGCAAAGCTTTCTTGAAGAGGCAGGGCTGATTCCTTTTCGTCGCCCGCCCTTTATTTATTTAAAAAATTCTCACTTCAGAAGAAATAGAGGTAATTCAATTTTTCCTTAAGGAAAAAATACAACAAGGATATGAAAATTATTTTTTTTTAAAAAATAAAATAAAATTTGGTAGTGTTACATGAGGACCACACACAATCACTTGTTTTTCATCTAAAATTGGAACTATGTATAAGTATATCAACTGCGTTTATATTAGGTGAGGGCGAAAAATTCAAAACGTTAGTTAGGATTTTAAATTTTACTCAACGTGCGTGGTGTATAACATCAAAAAATATTCGATACAAATATGATCGTTTACATTAAAGATATGTAAGTACAACTCTGGAAGAAAGATCCCATTATACTTCTTTTTTTCTTGTTAAGAATTAGAAAGTAATGGCAATAATGCTAACTTTACGTACTTGGTTAACACCAAACCTAGAAATTACTAAAAAATAATTCAATTTTCTTCTTCTAATAATAATAATAAACATGGAAATGTTCAAGAATAATATTAAGAATTAATTAAGAGATTAATAAAACAAAGGAAAAGGGGCTAATTAAAAATATCTCTAAATTATTTGAAATTGGTTAATTTTATCCTCTGTTATCTTTTGTCTAAAAAATTCCCCCACCGTTAAGTCATTCTAGATTTTAATCGAGGCTATAATAATTTTGAGAAAAAACAAATGTTTAATTGAAAAATTAATATCGGTAATTACACTTTATATTATATAAAATTGGCATAGTATAAAAATTTATCATTTAAAATAGTCAAAGTAATAACACTTGTCCACAACTTTAAATGGAGGGCAAAGCCGCAAAGGTTCCCCATTTCGAATAATTCAAGGAAAAATTAAATTTCATTTGTTTTGAAGTAATTGTTAGTAAGAAGGGTATTTTTGAACAGGTTGACTAATTGGAGGGCCTTTTTGAGCTAGTTGATTAACAACAAGGATATTTTTGAATTATCTTCATATCTTCTTTGAAATCGTGAAACACATGTACAATATCTGATACTAATAATTGCTACATGTATTTTATGAGACAAATATATATTGATATAAAAAAGAGTATATTCTCTTTTATATAAGCCAACAATAGGACTAACATGGCATGCATTAACTCTTTGTACCTTTAGCATTAGGTATTTGTACCTTTTTACAAGTATCATGCCATTAAGTGATTGTACCTTTAACCTTAAGTGTTTGTACCTTTATATAAAAAACCTATAATTGATCCCTTCTAATATAGGACTCTTTCTGGCCCTCTTTTATTGGTTGTTCAACACGTGGAGGGTTCTATATTTGCATGTATGCTGTCCTATTGCCTTTACATATATGTATCTCTTGCTCTCATTTTTTGATTTGTTAATTTCTATTGCATGTTAGTATTATTATTGCTCTATATTGTACAACAGGTGTTTGATGATGTGTTGTAATGAACTTTGTTCGCTTTTTTAACAGTAGACTGATACAAATTCTAGAGTTCAAAAATTCCAGCATTTAACCTTGCATGTGTGTCTTACTATTACCAAGAGTTTACGAATTTAAAACAACTCTAATTGTTGTGGCTCTCATTGTCAAGATAAAGACATATGGCGCCAAGATTGAATATTGAAGGAATAACCATTGACACTCCCGATTAGACTTGCAAAGTCCAAATTGTGGACATGAGTCGTGACAAACTAAGTTTTTAGAAGAAATTTCGATTCCAAAATCTGATTTTGGAAGACGAGCAGGTCCTTTCGCTCATTATTGTCGTCGCTCATCCTCTAGGCATAATTATATAATTTATCTGTATCTCACAAAGTTCACCGACTTTACATGAACACCAAATCAGGGCAGTTGTATATGGTGATGATATTGACTATTATGTGGAGAATCTTACATTGTTGGATACATATCTAATCTCTACTGCCAGAGTGAAATTAAAGTTTCACTACCTTCGTACGGAAGGATAATACATAAATTTTATTGGGTGCTTGATAAATATACTCTAATCGAACATATCAAACCAAATGAGCAGCTTGAGAAACCACTGTTGCCACCGAACAAGTTACATACCACAACTTTTGCCAATATTGCTCAACTGACTCTGGTCCTAATGCAGAACTTGGTATATTCCTCTTACCAACAATTAGTTTGCTAAAATTTATGTCCCCACATGTAATGACCTAATAATTCTTTATTTCTATCAGATATTGTAGGAGTTGTTCTCCGTTATGGCCCTTCAAAATATGCAGGCCGCACTCAAAATAGGTGTCGTGAGGTTACTATTTCTGATGATCAGTAAGTACAACCTTCTGTGTTATACATTGGTATTTATGTTTTCAGATTTTGACACAATGTTACTATAGATTCGAGAAAAAATAGTATTCATGTATTCCCCATGCTTTCAAACGAAACCAATTTTTGCTTACTTTATGGGACGACTTCGGGGAAATTGAAGGAGCTGAATTGGAAGCTCAAATAGAAAAGGGTAAAAGAGTTCCCTGTAATCCTTAGAAGGAACATTGGAATCTCTAGTTATCAAGGTATGCGTGTGTTTTACTGAAATCTCGTCTTTTAATACCATACACTATTACACAATCATTTCATATGTACAAGTTTATCCTTGCAAACCAGATTCAATTTGACGATACGCTTAAATCCTACTTATCCGCAGGCATTACAGTTGATCAGTTGGTACTAACTTCTTACTATACATCTCTAGCTTTAGTGTGCCATAAAAAGCATATTTCGCAATGTTTCTGTTGTCATAATAGGGCAAAGACAAACAAAGACGTGCTTTTGGGCAATGTGTTGGGTAACTTCGCAGGATCATCCACTGCTCTTACCGTCAATCCTGTTCACCGACAAGTCGTTTCTATTGTAGAAGTTACAACAGCAACTTCAGTAGGTTTCAGAAATATTTAGACTAGCTCAAATTATTGATGGAATAGAGTTAGATATACATTTTTTGTTGGGCATTGCAGGTTGGAGTTTTCTACATTGAGGCCGAAATGTCAATATCAGATGATCTTCAAAAGTTTTTGTCCTAGAATGTTCAGGCAGCAAACAGAAAAAATGCACAAAAAACAAGAAGCAGTTTGATTGCGCAAAATGTCAAAGACAGACAACATTGGTGCCTCGATATTACGTTTATGCTATATACATAAAAATTTATTGTGGTAAAATATCGCATATACAAAAAACAATTCAAGTATTAACTCATTATGCTTGTAGGTGTACCTTCCAAATTGATCTGCGGTGGTTCAACAACTGCCTTCATTTCTGGTGATCCTGGCGAAAAACTTCTCTCCATGAAGGCAGAGGACATATTTGACACAACCTGCGTCAAGGTTACCTCCTACTTATATTTCTTAGTGTCTGTCTTTATATATACTTCTGCAAATGTTCTCTGTGTTGATCAGATCCAACAAATGTTGTCGAAGAAACTATTTCATATTCAACTAAGGAAGTCATCCTGGACAAACTCTAATGTTACTCAGTCAAGTCTCACAGTTCTGTCCTACACGGAAAAAGAACATGCATCTCTACCAGGCACTGGCGAGAGGAACATTAGAAAGGCCAAATCGTTCGATGCTAGCGAGGTAGAGATGAAAGCGACATTTTTTGAATCTGAATCTTCCAGCAGCGATACCTCAATTGAACCCACGCCAATCAAGAAGTTATGAAAGGTTAGTGAACCTGTCAGTGAAGTTAGGCAGATTAGTCGGTCTTTCTGAAAGGATATTACAATTAACTTGATAAGCAGTAGTATGAGCTTACTAAATATGTCTAGCAGAAATATGGGTTATTGTTAGATTTCAGATACTCATGCCTTTTTAGTTCTGATAATAACATAGATTTGACTCTAGCTTTGTTGTCTTCTACTTTTGATTGTCCTTTAGATTAAGACAATAATTGTTTTAGTTGTCTATCAGGACAAATAAAATTGCCACTTCTCATCTGATGATACTGAGTGGTTCAGCTTTTAACATTAGCTATAGTTCTAAGCTGACTGTTGCATTAGCCAATGTGCATGGGTGGTTGTTTGATCAAATTAATCACGTCAATGCTAGAGGGGTGCAACTTGAGTGATCTATTCTCTTTTGAGAGCTACGAGTCCATTACAACACATGGTATTTTCCCTAACGATCAGTACTGAGCAATTAAGTGAAATTAATAGAACCAGAGGAAGACTCCATAACTGACTATTTGTAGCATTTGCGCTTTTCAATAATTTGCAGCAATAGAAAATAGTAATGTCCCCATGGGTATATTGAATAGTGAAGAAGTTGGGATATGCTTAGATTGTCTACAGCCGTCAAGTAGTATTTTTAAGTTTTTGCCTTCTACATCAAAGTATACTCTGTGTTGTCTATTTGAGTTCTTATGGGCAAGTGTACAAATTAGTTAGAAAGTTCCATTTGGTGGTCACTTCTGTCGGATCGAAATGTCAACTGCATTCACTTGTGTACTCTCTGTAGTAAGAGATTATACATGTTTTGCTCTGAATGTCTACTGATTTTTATATTTTTAAGTTTTTTACCTTCTTCATTTCTTTTCCAGAGTACATAAGTTTAACTCCATTCACTTGTATATTTAAATTTATATGTTATATAACATCAAAGTAGCTATGATTACTTTAATGATTGAATTTGATATATTTACATTTAATTACAGGAAGTATGTTCCTCATTTTGGTTACTCAAAAAGCATAACTTTTGGGATTCTCAATCTGCACAACCTCAATTGTTATGAAGGTCCAGTTATAAGAAGTTGGGGAGAAGGAAGTAACAAAGATGGTACTCAACTTTTTCAAATTTTTGGGCTGCCTCTGTGATTCAGATTTTGCGTCAAGTGGATATTCCACACTCAGTTAGGTATGTTGTATTACACCTTCGTCTAAGTAAATGTTCATTATTAACATAACTTCACCATAAAACTATCACCTTTGGCTGTAAATCTGTGGAATTAATGTAGTAAATTCTGCCTCAATTTTATGTTGTAGTATCTTTCTCACTTCCTTGCCAATATCTCTACCGTTCAACTTATAGGTACTTTGACATCTTGTTGTGCCATAAATGCTGCCACTGAAGAAGCTTACCCGGACTACAATTGTACCATGCATGTTGTTGTTCTAGACTAAGATACCATCATCTTGTAACTAAAAAATCCCAACACTCTTTAAACTTTTTGGGTTGTATCATCACTACTACTGCAACAACGTTTGGATCAGTGTATCTGCACAACACGCTTGTGTCTATTGTAAACCTTGTATATAATAGTGTGATATCAAGCTTGTATTCCAGTAGTCTTGTGCTTAATCATTTGTTCAACGTTCTTGGTGACCTCTGATTTCAGTGGCTTCGGTCATTGGTCAGAATGAACTCTTCTTTTAATATCCTCCTTTATTTCTCAGTGTAACAAATGTGTTGCACTGAGAAACATCAGTGCAACATGTAAAGTCCAATCGAATTAACATCAGTGAATAAAAAATGACACACCAGACCAGATTGGACATGTAAAGTCCAAATTATGGACGGACGGTGATGCTTTTAGATATTATGTAGATAAGTTTACACTCTTCAACGCATATAAGGTCTCTACTACATGTTCAACAACAATCTTAGCTTGAAAATACAGTGTATGAAAATATGCAATTTCAGCTATTCTAAGTATTCACCCTTGAAATCATTATTATTAGTGTAAAAATAAACAATTCTGGAATCATGTTTTGCCGTACAATCTCCTCCTTTTGGTATCCCTCATGAGTCAAATCTATCA